TGTCCAATTGTCTTCTACACTTCTTACTATTCTTTTTCTCTACTTTTCTTCCTCTCTATCTTCCCCACTTCTTACTTCTCGTTTTTCCCCCTCCTTGTCTCTTTTCTTCCCTCCATACCCTTCTGTCTTCTCCACTTCTTACTATTCTTTTCCCTCCCTTTCTCCCTCTCTATCTTCCCCACTTCTTACTTCTCTTTTTCCTTCCCTCATTGTCTCTTTGCTTCCCTCTCTGCCTCTCTGTCTTCCCCACTTCTTACTTCCCTTTTTCCTTCCCTCCTTGTCTCTTTGCTACCTTCCCTGCCCTACTGTCTTCCCCATATGTGTTAAGATGTCAGTGTCATTTTCATTTTTGTGTCATTTAGACGACAATTTATCCATCGCACCTTGTATTTCTGTTAAAATGAGTGTTATTTTCATTTTTGTGTCATTTAGACGACAATTTATCCATCGCACCTTGTATTTCTGTTAAAATGAGTGTTATTTTCATTTTTGTGTCATTTAGACGACAATTTATCTATTAACCTAGTATTTCTGTTAAAATTTATCCATCGCACACTGTATATCTAACATGAGACCAGTGTTCATTATAGTGTCATTTAGACGACAATTTATCCATCGCACGCTGTATATCTGTTAAAATGAGACGTCAGTGCTATTTTCATTTTTGCGTCGTTTAGACGACAATTTATCCATCGCACCCTGTATATCTGTTAGAATGAGACGTCAGTGTTATTTTCATTTTTGCGTCGTTTAGACGACAATTTATTCATCGCACCCTGTATATCTGTTAAAATCCGACGTCGGTGTAATTTTCATTGTTACGTCATTTAGACGACAATTTATCCATCGCACCCTGTAGATGTGATTCCATCAAATAAGGAGAATATTTGATAATCATTCACCTGAGCCGTGTATATTCAACCTGGAAGCCATATTGTTTCAGATCGCTGGGCTGCTTATGCTGGAATCGAGGAAATCAACCATAGCATATACCCTCATGATATTGTTACTCGTCAGCAGCATCTTGTGGGTCCTGATGATGGCAACATCCCTACTCGAAACATTGAAATTGTTTGGATGAGCATCTAGTGTAAACGACGTCAAGGAAGCCTGGAACTTTTGAGCCATTGCATACGTCGCATCTTTATGAATTTGTATGGCGTCAGTGGTACAAGAAGGTCCCATGTTTCCAGCATTTATTTGCCGCATCGTCCACCATTACACATTGTAATAATGTTTAATTGTAATAAACATATGATTTTATGCCGTTAAAGGATTAGCAGTTTATTTTGTAGCCGTTTAAAAGAATGAATGGCCATGACTTCCGGTTTTTAGAGGTCGAAACGCCTAATATAAAATTGTTCCATTTAATCAAATAACTTTTAATGTAAAAGTTCACACACTTTATAGGAGGAGAAAACAAAAAAAACATCATTCTATATCGGTTCGTAACGACGAGACAGATTTATTTTCTTTCTTCTTCTGCCTAGCATCCTCCTCTTTGCTTTCATTTTATCTTTTAAAAAATGTGTTGAACATTCAAAAAGTTAACGTGCAGCAACAAAAGTGTGGGTGAGTGCAAAATTGTTTTTATTATTATTATTATTATTATTTGTGTTCTTCGTGCCATATTACCGTCACAATGCACAAGCATATTCTCAAGTGCCTGTGGCAACACTTTGGAACTTTCTCGAGTAACGCGCATTCTCCACTTCAACTTCGTCTAAGAACTTCACATCTCCGACAAAGCCGACACAAACATAACAATTTTATTGATTGCTAGAGAATTAGAAGTCCTGCGAGGATTCGTTATTGGCGGCTACAATCTTAACAACATAAAATATTCAGTTGACACTGTGGTAATGGCAGTCACAGAAAGGAAATTACAGGAAAACTACTGATAATATAAGAAGAATCTGCAACATTAACGGCCCTAAACTGTAATCTCGGCTTCAGTCAATTTCTGATCCCCTTAATGTACATTTCTTACATGATTTTCTTAAAATACTTTCATGATAATATGATGATTTTTCCTCTTTTGTACTGAGGCTGTGTATTTAAGCGTACTATGAGACTGGCGGGAACATTTCATTATCTTCTGAGTTGAAATGGTTAGATACATATGTAAGGTTTATGCTAACAGTTTTTTCTCTCACATCAAAATTGTGGAAGTTTAGCTTCCATTCAACATTGATCTTAAAAAAATTAACTGTAATTGCAATCATTATCTTTTGTCTTGATAATTCCGGATCTTTTATTATTCTTTGTCCTTAATAATATTTACTTTTTCTCATATTCTTACACACATACCCATTGCGACTCAGCTGCATTATTGCCTTGTTTGGGGTGAATTGATTAAAAAATGTAGGTAGTAAAAGAAAGCGAGAAGAAAGGAGTAAACATTAATTGTAAGAAGAGAGAAAGTATGTGTTATGGTCCGGTTCCTTGTACCACGGTGATAGTCCAAGGTAGAACCAATAAAGAAGAACTCGAACACTGATATGGAATAACACAGATATATTACAAACAGGAATATATACAGAGAAGTAGAAAGTGTTAGTACAAACAATCAGGTTTAGTAGTAATTGTCTGAACGCGACTCTGTTTCGGACTGCCTCTGACTCGACTGCTCCGACTGACAGACAGACTCCTGACGGACCTCACTCCAGACTTCAGACTGAACGGTATTTAGTCACACACCCCCACACACACACACACGAGGGCATCATGTGGCACAAGGCCGGTTTAACGTGGGATCTCCGAGCCAGTGGGCTCGGCCAAAAATATGCCCTTTGAACCCGTATAAACGAGTTCAGGGTCGGTTTACCTCCCCGAAAGAGACTCCGCCCTTCGGCGTAGCCTCGTTCGGGTTCCTCCCCGCCCGAAGGCAGAGAGTTCAACCGATCAGCCGATCAGCCGGTCGCCCGACTTTAGGCTGAACTCCCCGCTTCCTCTTGAGGCGCAGTATTTATTACGTATGGAATAGCCCATTATGTTATTATGGGTAAGTGTCCATAACAGTATGGTTGTCAGAAAGAGATAGGGACACCAAGTAAAAGAAAAGCCAGAAGAAAGGACTAAACATTAATTGTAAGAAGACAGAATGTATGGCTGTCAGCAATAGAGAGAGAGATGAAGTAAAGGAAAGACAGAAGAAAGGACTAAACATTAATTGTAAGAAGACACAATGTAAAGCTGTCAGCAAGAGAAAGATACCAACTAAAGGAAAGACAGAAGAAAGGACTAAACATTAATTGTAAGAAGACACAATGTATGCCTGGCAGCAACAGAAGCTGTCAAGAAAAGATTAATGTTGATTGTAAGAAGATACCAATTAAAGGAAAGGGACCAATTAAAGAAAGAAAGAAAGGACTAAACATTGATTGTAAAAAGACAGAATGTATGGCTGTCAGCAAGAGAAACAGACTAAGTAAAGAAAAGACAGAAGAAAGGACTAAATGTGAATTGTAAGAAAACAGAATGTATGGTCGTCAGCAAGAGGAAGTACCTAAGTAAAGGAAAGCCAGAAGAAAGGACTAAATATTAATAGTAAGAAGGAAGAATGTGTAGCTGTCAACAAGAGGAAAAGACCAAGTAAAGGAAAGAGAGAAGAAAGGTCTAAACATTAATTGTAAGAAGATAGAATGTATAGCTTTTCATAAAGAGAGAGAGAGAGACGAAGTAAAGGAAAGACCGAAGAAAAGATTAAACATTAATTGTAAAAAGACAGAACGTATGGCTGTCAGCAAGAGGAAGAGACCAAGTAAAGGAAAGAGAGGAGAAAAGACTAAGCGTGAATTGTAAGAAGACAAAATGTATAGCTGTCAGCAAGAGAGAGAGAGAGACGAAATAAAGGAAAGACAGAAGAAAGGACTAAACATTAATTGACAGAAGACAGAATATATAGCTGTCAGCAAGAGATCGAGACGAAGTAAACGAAAGCCAAAAGAAAGGATTAACATTAATTGTAAGAAGACAGAATGTATGGCTGTCAGAACGAGGAAGAACCCTAAAGGCAAATTAAAAATACAATATACGAAAACTCAAAAGCACAAAAACTTAATTATCTGGGAAATGTTTTAACAGCGCACAGAAATTTCTGCACCAAAATCTGAAGGCGCATTTAAATAGAGAAAAATGCCTTCCCAAAGCTAAGCAAACTATTAAAAAAACTGAAAGATTTCTTTAGAAACTTAGAAGAAAACATCAGTTCTCTTATATGGCAGTAAATTCTGAACAAACTCCCAGATGTTGAAGAGCCTTATAGCAAATGAATTATGGTTCTACAGAAGGATTCTGAGAATACGATGAACTAAACATGTGTGCAACGACGAAGTTTTAGAGAAAATAGAAATAAAGTGAACACTTCTACCTAGTATCAGAAAGAGACTGTTGAAATTTCTAGGGCACATAATGAGGAAAGAAGGCTTAGAAAATATGACTCTCACAGGACATATTATAAAGTATATTGGACAGAGGATGACTGCGCATAACCTACTTAAACAGCTTGTTTAAATGGTTTGCAGAACACTATTTAGGAAGAAGAGTAAAAAGACAAAATTTACTTAGAGCTAATAAGGACAGGAAAGTGTGGAGAGCCATGCTTGCCCACCTCCTGAAGGGAAATGACGCATAGAAAAAAATCGTAGTTAGACTTCTCTTAGTTTAATTAATTTCTTTTTATTTATCCGGGCCTATAAAACGTCGCCTGAAAGTTTAAAAAACAACTTCAAAATATCGTTTATTGTTTTTTATTTTCTTTAATTTATTTATTTAAAGCTGAGATTTAGTTTGTGTTTCCTTTCTACGTAAGTGCACGCGCACGCGCATGCGCAGACCGAGAAATATTTCGTTTTTCTTGCAGATGTGTTCTTTATTGTTC